CTTGACGCAGCTTCCGTGTCTGGGGTAGGCGCTTAGAGCCAGGTTGGCATCTGTGGCCTTCTCCAGGCGGAATGGGTCGACCGAGTCGCCCGAGCAGGCCATCTGGTTGTCCATCATGTCGAGGGACTCCACTACAGTGTAGCCGTAACGCACCGCATCAACTACCGCCTTCAAGTCCTTGCACTGCCCTGACAGACAGACACATGCATGCGTCACGTCAGACACACGGCAACGGTCGGTCTGTTGTTTGGCGTGTCTGTTCTGCGTGTCTCCTCTCCTCCTATTGGTGTCTCTCTCCGGTGTGCTCCCTCACTGCGGCAGAAGAGCTCTGGTATCGGTGCGGTGTAGTTGCCGTTGGTGCACATGACTGTGGCGACGGGGTTCTCCCCCGTGAGGTTGTAGTATCCGACCTCCGTCTCGCACCGCACCTTGATCTCTGTGCGGTGCGGCACCGGGGGGTCGGGCACAAACCCAACTACCGTTATGCCCTCACCGAGCACATACTTATCGCATGGAACTACACACAAAGACACACAGACAGACAGACAGACACACAAATGGGGAGGGAGGCTGCATATGTATCGTCTGCGTGTCCGGCTGGCTCGATTACTGACTGTTGCATGTGACGAGTGGCGGGAAGGGGCTCCAGGTGCCGTTAGAGCAGACGGAAACAGACCCCTCGAAGGCGGCTGGTGTGGCTGTGGCCCCGCGGGATCGGTCGCACCTGACCTCCACTTGTGTGCCGTGCCACTGATGCTGCGGCTCGTCCAGCTCGCCCTCCGGCAACGGCCGCAGCGGATACAGCTCCTGGTGAGGCAGCGACGGGAAGCGACCACAGGGCCCTGCGAGACAGGCAAGGAGGGGAGAGACACCCCATGAGCAGAGGGCGGATGGGATGGCTGCGCTGCGTGTGATTGATGCTGTTGGCTGGCTGCCTGACCGTTGCATCTCATGGGCAGGTCAGAGTACATCACCCGATCGCAGGTGATTTCCTCCTCCCTGGCCACTTCTGCGGCGGTGCCCTTCTGCGGCACATAATTGTCTGCCACATTGCACTGCACCCGCACCCTGGTGCCGTGTGGGTGTGAGGCCGCGTTGACGAGGTCTCCCAGGGGCCCTTTGTCTGTCACCACCACCTCGGCCGCCTCGGTGTTCTCGAGGGCACGCACCTGGGGGAAGTGATTGGGGTCGAGCGATGAGGCGCGTCGGGCGACGGCGGTGATGACGTACCGCTCGCCCAGGAGGTATGCTGGTACCTGGGTGCAGTCTCCTATGTGGTGAGACAGATTCAGGGAGGGAGGGAGGGAGGGAGAGGTTCGTGTTATGTGTGCGTGGGGTGATGTGCCGATGTGCCACTTACGTCCGCAGACGAGCATCTGGAGGGACCATTTGCCGTTGTTGCATGCCAGGAAGTCCACGTCGCCCCCGCTGACGCTGTGGAAGCCGTTCTGCCTGTTGCACCGTAACGTCACGATGCTGGCGTGCTCCATCTGGGCCGACAGGGCGATCTTGGGCTCCACAACGTAGACGTCATTCGCACTGAAGGTCGCCTCCCCTTTCCGTAGAGGGGGCGTCTGCAACGTAAGCACGGGGCACCTCTCTGACAGTGTGGCAGACAGGACAGGCAAACACATACATACATACATTGTGTGTAAGGTTCGGTCTGCTCATGATGGTATTGCACTCACTTGCGCAAGGCAGGGCAAGCTCAGTCCATTTTCCGTCAAGGCAGCTGAGCACCTGCTCCATGCCCGTCTCGCGGCAGACGACGGTGATTTTCTCACCGTGGCGATGGACGGCCTTGGCGGCCAGGTCGGCCTGGCTGAGGGGCTTGGTCATGTACCACTCATCGGGGAAGTGCGGCGGACGCGGGCAATCAGCTGCACAAACAGACAGACGACAGAGAGATGTGGGTGGGTGGGATGGTGGGTGGGATAGACCAGGCAGACCTCTGCAGGCGAGTTGTCGCTCCGTCCACTGTCCGTTGCTGCATAGGAGCAGGTCTTTGATGGGCATGTTGGTCTCGTCCTCTATGGAGTAGCCCGTCATGCAGCTCAGCACACGGGTGGTGCCGTGCCGGTAGGGCGCCGCCACGTCGCCTGTCACCTGCACTGCCACGCCCTGCTCGGGGATGTCGGGCTCGCCAGTGCACACACCTGCAAACCACGGTACGGTAAGTCTGTCTTGTCTGTGAGTCTGTAAGTCTGTGTGTCTCTGCCTCTCACCGACCGTAGCAGACGAGGGATTTGATAGTGTATTGGTCGCCCACACACTTGAGGACTTCCGTGTCCTTGTCGGCACTCACCATGGTGCGCCACCCCTGCCTCTCGTCGCACGACAGCTGAATCTCCGCACCGTACTCGACCTGCTTGGGCACATTGCCCTCAGCGTTAAAGTACTGCACCCTGACGCCGGGCTCGGGGGGCTGGTAGGGTTGGCAGCTTCCGGCACACTCGAGGTGGAAGCTGGACCACTGCCAGAGGTCGTCGTCGGTCTCGCACTGGTCGGGGTCGCCGTAGCAGGTGCACTCGACCGTCTGTGGCTGGTGCTGCCCCTCGGGCACCTGGTACTGGTCCAGACACCACACCTGTACGGTAGCGCCTGACCGGCGCTCCTCTTGGCCGAGTGGGGGGTCCGTGTGGTACCGATGGGCTGTCTCGGTGGGCAGCTTGAAGGGCGAACACATACCTGATGACCAGGGCAGGTGAGGTCAGTGACAGAAATGCCGGGTGGCGACAGACAGACAGAGATGAAGGAGGTAGAGGAACACTCCCTTGCCAGATACAGACACGTACGTACCTCTGCATTCGAGAAGGACCTTCTGCCATTCCCCATCGTAGCAGTCGATCTCCTGCCGGCCATTGAGAAATGGCGTCCCAACCGGCGGCGCATACCCGTCCCTGCAGGTCAGAACCCGCTTGGACCCCTCCTGGTATCCCTCGCCCTCCACAGAGTAGTGGTTGTTGAGCTGTTTGCTGAATGACGGTGGCATCATGATGTCTCGGGGGCAGGTGGGTTTGCAGGGCAGGCCCAGTGGGTCGATGTATCCGTCGAAGCAAGAGAGGACCTCCTGCGTGGGCGCGCCTCGTCGTGTGGGCAGGTCTGGGTTGCAAGCGATACGGACCTCCTCCCCGCTGTGGATGCGGGTGGGTCGCTTGGGCTGCTCCAGGCGGTAGGTGCTGCCGCCACCGACGTCACTCATGTTCCACCACTTCTCTCGAACTGGGTCGCAGTCCTCTGCACACAAATCAAATCAAATCAAATCAAATCAACCCACACCCATGCGGCCCCGCCATCCATCCATTCATCCATTTGTGTGTGCCTCGATGGATTACGTAGGCAGTCCATGGTCCGCTGCGTCCACTGTCCGGACCGCTCATTTCCGCAGAGCACCATGTCTCGCCCCTCGGTCACGTCGCCATGGTAGCTGGGCTCAGTCACATTGGCCGCCCCGCCGGCATTGCGGCATGTGAGCATGAGTCTGGTGGAATGCTCGAACCCCCGGTGGAGGTACTTCTCGGCGGTGGGGCTGCCGGGGACGTCGGGGAGGGAGGCGAGGTAGCGGTGGGCGGTGTCGTCAGCCGTCAGCTGGTTGACGTATGGGGGGCACTTGACTGCATGAGCGGGGGGAGGGGAGAGAGAATGACTTTGGTGGTTGTGTCGTGTCAGTCAGGCTCTGTGTGCATAAATACGGTTGGCTCCTTACGTCTGCACGAGCAGCTGCATGTGTCCGGCGTGGCCTGTACGTCACACTCTTCAGTGCCGCCGTCGACCTTGCCATTGCCACAGAAACTCCGCAACGCTGACAGACAGACACACAGACAGACAGACAAACAGACAGGCAGACATGGCAGGCACACAAATGTCTCTGTGTGTGTGTGTGGAGGGGGGGGGGCTCACAGAGCAGGTCGAAGAAGTTGGCTGCGGCATCCTCAGTGGAGCTGCCCAGGTGGCCCTTGTTACTGTAATGGAAGAGACGCATCACACCTACACACAGGCACAGACCGAGGCGATGCCCACAGCACAGCGGAGGTGTCTCTATCTATGTGTGTGTGTGCCCATCTCTCAACCCAGCCACCTTTGAAGCACTTTTGTCCGTTCTTATCGCAGCCGAGACTCATGGTGGATGGCCCGGCCTGCAGCCCCATCCACGTGCGTGACTCCATCGACAGCGGCTCCTTCGTCAGTGACAGCCCCATGCGGTACAGGCGAAAGATGCCCAGCTCAACCGCCATGGCATACAGGTTCCCCTGCGGCTGCCGCCAACACATGGGCACCATCGTCAGCGGCGCCACGTACGAGGCATTGTGCGCCATCTCCAAGAAAGCCGCCCCCTCCTCTCCCTGTGTGGTGTTTTTGCCCTCATCCGGGCTGTATCTCTTCGGTGTGTATATGTCGATTTCCCGCTCGTCAGGGAGGAGGCCGAAGTACACCGTGTCAGGGTCGGGATCGCCGTCCTGGTCATATGCCGCCATGAAGCCGATACGGAAGCCCGGCGGCCCGTCGAGGATGGTCTGCACTTCGCCTGGCTGGGGCGGTGTGTTGATGGCCAGGTGGAAGAAGAGGGTGAATGAGCCGCTGCCGCCGTCGAGCAGCGGGACGCACAGCCGGCCGGCCTGTGTCTTTGGAGCCGAGAAGTACTTGCCGTGGTTGAACCTGAGATACATGACTTGGCCCGCAAGAGGGTCATCCCTGCACCAAACCAAGCCAGACGAGCGACAAGAAGCTTATGGGATGCATGCTACAACGGAGTCGACCGTGGGTGGGTGGACAATCCAATCCATGGAATAATAATGCGTACCTGACGACGAGTGAGGGTGGGTGGCCCTCTCCATCGAAGAGCTTCTTCATCTTGCCAAGCGACTTATCCTCCCAGGTGTACGGCAATGTGCTGCCTGACGTCCGGGTGGGCGGCGGCACCAAGAGGGTGAACACCTCCGCCCCCAACACAGTGCAGCCCTCGCCGAAGACACTCGTGGGCGGGACCGTCCGCGGCTGCTCCGCCGAACCCATCTCGCACACCGCACCATCGAGAACAAGTAGCAAGATGACGAGAAATGCAGCCAGCGGGAGGGTCAGCGCTCTGAAGCGTCGTCGCCTCATGGCTGGTTGTCGGTAGAGTCAGTCTTGCCCTCTGGGAGGGAAGGTGTACTGGCTGACGAGCCACACAATGAACCACCCCCCCATTGTAAGCAGGATGCTCTCCCACGTCATGATGATGACTGATGACTGGCGTTGAGGATTGATGGCGTTGGTTGATGGCGTTGGTCAGAGGGGCTCTCTGCAAAGTGCAGTGAGTGAGCGGTGCTGATGAGAAAGGTGCTGAAACGGGGAGCGCGGGGAAGCAAGCTGTGAGCTCAAGAGAAGCTGTTGCAATGCGGCGGTTGTAAGACTGCAGAAGGTGGGGGCCACCCTCATGATGCATGATGCATGCAAGTAAACGCAGGACCCCGTCAGAAATGCCCAAGAGGAAAGATGAACCTGAGGAGGCGCCTCCCGCCTCCTTCGACGACATCCCCTCGTTCAATGCCTTCGTAGAGGCCAAAGGGACAAAGGTACGCATCCCACTTCCGGCTCGCACCCTCTGCGGATGGCGCATGTGTGTGTGGCTGTGATGTGGATGGGTGGTTCAGGAGGATCTGGTTGGTGAGTTGAGAGATCTGCCGTACGATGAGCACGACGCCCTGTGGGTGACCGTGGCTGATGTGGTCGGGCCGGAGCTGCATAGCCAAAACATCGTATCGGACCAGGGAGAGTACCTGGTGAGCCAATACGGGAGAGGAGATATAGACTCAGCAGCTGCGAATGCACTCATGGTGATGTGTTGTATTGTGTTGATCAGAGTGATGATGCTCGTCGTGTGTTGGAGAACTATGCCCTGTTGCTCATCTCCTCCGTGGAGGCACTCGCCAGCCAGCACGCACACGCACGGGGGGATGGTGACCAGCAGCAGCAGCAGGAGGTCAAGAGCGCGCCTGAAGGCCTGCTGCAAACCGCAGACGCCTGCCAAAGTACAATAGAAGACGCACTTACCATCTGTCTGTTCTGTTCGTGACGTGTGCTGATTGATGCATGGCATGCAGGTTTCTTCAACCTGCTGCCGTTGGGACGCCCCCGTGAGCAGATCGGTATGGCGTACGAGCGGCTGTGTAGTGAGGGGTTTGAGGGCTGCGAGTCCGTGCAGGGCGGCCTGCTGCTCTTCCTGCTCACAAAGGCCACCAGCATCAAAGTGACCCACTGACTGACTGAGCAAGAGAGAGAAGGAGAGAGAAAGGGATGGAGGGATGGGTGGTTGTGAGAACGGACAACTGGATGGTTTGTCTGTCTGTCTGTCTTTGTCCTCCCTCCCGCCCTTTGCGTGCAGGCCACACAGGCTGATGTCAAGCGGCTGAGCGAGCAGTGGTGGGAAGGGAGAAAGGGAGGGAGGGAGGGGCAGCGCAACATGTGTGCACACCGACTGCCACCCCCCCTCCCCCCCTCTCTCTCTCTGTGTGTGTGTGTGTGTGCGTGTGTGTGGTCAGGGATTTGCTGAACGAGTTGGTGTATGACGGGGGCGCCAACGAGCTGGTCAAGCAGCTGCTCGGACAGTGCGCCATGACGCCCATCTTCTTCTCCGTGTACCAGGGCGACACACATACACACACATACACACACAGAGGGCCACTCGCGAGCTGTGCTACGTTGTTTGTCATGCAGAGCGTACGGTCGCAATTTCATATCGCGTCTGTTCCACCTCCACGAGTCCATGCCCCTCTATCTACTCGACGTATATGCCCACACCACACACATGCAGCCCACCCACAACACCACACCCACCTGACGCCTTCGTGTATGTGGTGTGTATGTGTGGTGTGTGTGTGTGTCGATCCCTTTAATCCCACTGCAGTACATGAAGAACTACATCAAGAATGAGGTGCGGGAGTGCCGCGAGGACCACCTCAAGCACTACGCAAACATACTGCACAAAGCCTGGGTGAGTGAGGGCCTGGGAGGGTGAGGCGATATCATGTGTCTGGTGTCTTCGTTGATTACACGTGTGTATGCCGACCGTCCAGGGTGACTGTACGGATGAGGAGATCAAGCTGGCCATCGAGGACGCCGTGCAGGTCAGAACCGACATGCACACATGTCCATGGTCATGTGTGGGGTGGGTGACGGCGTGGCCTGCAGGACCTGATGGAGTGCGCGTTGTGGTGCGACCTCAAGGTGGCGACCAAGTGCAGGAAGGTCCTCCAGACATTCCACGACAAAATGAAGGGGTCAGCCAGCACAGCCACTCAATCCATGTATGTGCCTTGATGCGATGCAAGGGGTGTGTGTGTGTGTTGTGTGCCCCGCCCACCCACCCTCCCTCCCTCCCTCCCGCATGTCAGCCACCACGACTGTTTGGACATGCTGTGTCGCCTCTATGAGCCCATCCTGTGGCGCAGCTTCAAGGTCAGTGCCTGGGTGGCTGGTGTGGGTGTCTTGACAGATAGAGGCCGGGGCGTCACGGATGTATATTTCTGTCTGTCTGTCTGTGTGTCGATCACCGATCAGGTAGCGAATTGGAAGGTCCGAAGCAACGCCTTCTTGCTGCTGGCCGCCGCATTCCCACTGCTGGTACGCCGACTGTGTGTAACCACCCCTCTCTCTGTGCGCATCCACTGGTCGGTTGGGTCGGTTCGTTCAGCGTCCGCATGCCATGACGGTGTCTGATTTGGAGGACGAGAAGCTCAAGCACTACCAGATATACGAGGACGGACTCACCGACGACAGCGAGGGCGTCAGGCGGGCCGCCATACGAGGCGTGTGCAAAGTAACCACACACACACACGCACACAGCGGGGGAGCATAGTCGGCGACCGTGGCACACACACACATACATAGATTGCATTCAATGTGTGTGTGCCGTGTGGCAGAACATGTCTGAGGCCTGGCAGGTGTTCACCCCGGAGTACCAGAACAAACTGGTCAAACTCGTACTCAGATGCGGTCAGCCAGCCAGCCAGCCAGGGGCCGCACATCCAGGCGCAGCGCAGCGCAGATTCACATCAATGTCTGTGTGCGGTTGTCAATGCAGCTGTGGATCTCAACTCGACGGCTGTCCGCGCCTCGGTCTACGAGGGCCTCAGGTCAGTGGGCATTCACTCGCGCCACACACAGACAGCGGCAGACCTCTCTCGTGTGTGTGTGTGTGTGTCAGCGAGCTGTTGGAGCAGCCCATGACGCACATCTACGTGGTAAGTGAGGTGGGGCCGGACTGGACTGGACGGGCAGGCAGGCAGGCAGGCACGGCGAACGCATCCATCCATTTATCCATGGTTTGTTCAGAAGGACATCTTGAAGGATTTGGAGCGTTTCAAGCCCATCTGCGACACCTCGCCCAAGGTGCGGCAGGCCGTAGCCAAATACTTCGACGTCATCAGGTCAGATACATGGATGGTATGTGCGACACACCACACCACACCACACCACACCACCACAAGTACCCACGAACAGCACAGCCCCTGTGTATGTGTGTATGTGTGTGTGCTCTTGTGTTTCGTCAGTGAGCGCATCTCTGACATCAACGTGTTTGACTACGTGTCGGTGCCCACCATCCACGGGCAGCTCGCCAAAGACCACCTACTCAGCCTTCTCGAATCCGCTGTCACCGAAAGTAAGTCTAAGTCAGCAGGGGACGGCGTCAAGTGGCCATATCCACACCACATCACACCCAACACATCGATGACGTGCATCATATGTCGTGCTGGCAGTGACGGGCTCCCGTCCACCCAAGAAGAGTCTGGCCAACGTGGACGTCACATCCGTCGCCGACAAGGCCGTAAGACACACACAACTGACACACACACGCACACACGCGTGCACACACATGCATCGCATCGTGGTACGGTACAGTCGTCGTTGATGGCCAAGTTCATCTTCGAGAAGGGCCGGCCGGCCCCGCACGAGAGCGAGCAGCAGGCACGCGCCAGGGAGGAGAAGGAGATGAAAGAGCGGGTGAGTGAGGAAGTTGACGAACAAACCACACACAAACTGCATCGGTCGGTTGATTGTGCGCGGTGACGCGACGTCCATTCGTTCATTCACTCATGCAGCTGAACAAGATGCGCGAGTTGGTCAAGGAGTATTCCATCTCTCTGTGGGCCATCATGGCCAGATGCCAGGTGGGTGGGGACGGACGCTCCATGCACACACACCACACACACCATGATCAGGCCACGGCTGGCTGTCTGGCTGTCTGGCTGTTTGGTGTGGTTGTGTGTGTCTGTGTGTCAGTCGTTGAGTGATTTCGACCTCACTGACCGTCTGGTGCAGGCCAGGGTCCTCTGGCAGGCCATCAACAGACGAATGGTCAGCAGGCATCCATGGCCTGGCCAGACATTCTGCATCCATTATCCACTCACACTCACACACATGCATGTCGTGGCATGTCTTCCATGGGTCGTGCAGATTCCCAAGGCGGTGGAGGCCATCGGTCGCTGCGACGAGGCCGCCAAGCGACAAGCCAAAAAGAAGGGCAAGAAGAAACAGGCCGTCGAACCTGACGCACCTGACGCCGACGAGAAACGGTGTGTGCGTGCGGGCGGAGGGCCATTTCCTCTTATGCGTGACATCGTGTGTCGTGAACGCATTCCTTCCGCAGGAACATCATCAAGAGCGTGCGGGTGTGGCTGATAGGTGTGCGTCAGCTGCTGGCGGCCAAGGACATCGACAAGACCACCGAAGAGGCCAAGGAGGCCCTGCTCAAGGACTTCCAGGTCAGCCAGTCAGACAGCCGCAAAGAACAACACCACACCCTCCAGCCAGCGTCACATCCATCTGATGTGGGCACTTGACACAGGAGGAGACCTTCCTGGAACATCTCGACGGAGAGTTCGCCAACGAAATGTACCAGGTAGAAAGATAGTATGTGACCACACACGTCTTTCTGTGTCCGCCGGCCGTCCACCTGTGCATGGCATGTGTGTCAGGTGCTGTATCACCTCCCTCTGTACGGCGAGCACTACCCCGCCGTCAAGGACCGCATCACCGCACAGCTCATTGACCTCAACTACTTCAACACACACACACAGACGTATGTATGTCGGTCTGCACAACAGAACACGCCCCCTCTCGTGTATCCCATGTCCGTTCTTGGCTGTCCCTTGGCAGTGTGGTGGACTCGTTGGTGCCGTTGGCCGCCCGCTGGGCTGTATTGGAGGACGCTATCAGGAGCGCACTAGTGGCGGCTGATGAGCGATTCGATGACATCCGCGCCAAGGACGGCAGGTACATACGCACCAGAGCCCCTACCCACATGTGCATTTTTGCATTCTCTGTGTGGTCCATCCCATCCAGGGTGTCGGCGGAGGGCCCTCCCCGCACCAACCGGGCCCACCCCGGCCGTGGTGGGCAGGATGCCGCGCCGCAGCCGAAGAAGAAGGCCAAGAAGGGCCGCAAGAAGAAAGGGGGAGACGACAGCGATGACGAGCAGCATCAGGGGCAGGGGGAGGATGGCGGGGATCGCAGTGTGGTGCCCAAGATGGCGGTGCCCGACGACGACCCAATGGCACTCATACGATTCATCCAGGAAATCACCGAGTAAGCCGCACAGACCCACACGCAGGTGGCTTCAAGATGTATGTCATGTCACTGATGCGTTCGTTCAGCGATAAGGAGGGCCTGAGTGTGGCGATGGATGTGCTGGGCAAGGAGTGCCACGACTGTGCCAGCCACGCCCTCGAGCTCGTCATCGAGGGCCTCTCCGCCGACCCCTTCCAACACTCCACACAGGCAGCCCCACCCCAGCCCCCCCTCTCGGACGTCGCACAGGCCACCTTCGGCCCCCTGCTCCAAACCTTCGGGCGCCTCTACCTACACATCGACAGAAGGCTCAAGGACAAGCCTGAGGTAGGTATGGCAGGCGAGACAGCGGCCTGTCTGCGTGTCAATCGTGACATTGTGCATTGATTATATGCGTGTGTCATTCATTTATTTGTTGTTCGTGCAGGGGTTCATCCCGTTCAGCTCCCGTCTGGCGGACGTGTTCGACCAGCTCGGGTCGGCAGAGGTGCCCGGCAAGGACACAGGGGGAGGCGGCCTCACCACAGCAAACGTCGAGGCTGTCATCGATATCTTCAAGTGAGTCAAGTAGCCAGCCGCATACACGAGCTCACACACACGAATATGCCAGCCATCCATCCGTTCGCGCCTTGCGTGCAGGGTGTCGTTAGAGCTGCTGTGTCCGGCCGCTGCGTTGGGTCAGGGCATCCTGCCGCTGGCTTCCTTCGGCAAAGTGCTCAGGAAGATGTTGGATTGGGGGCGACTGAGAGCACGTGAGCCAGTCGTGTCATGAATGGCACGAGCACAGTGATGTGATGCTCTCAGCGTGTAAAGGTGTGCGTGTGTGTCGCGCAGATGTGTGTGAGGACGAGTCTGATGGTCAGCAGGCCTGGCTGGATCACTGGCTGGTGGTGCGACAGCTCATTCTGCCACTCGCCATGCTGCCAGGTGGGCCACCTTGCACAGACCAGGCAGGCAGCTGTTCCCGTGTTTATGTGTATGTGTGTGCGTGTGTGTGTGTGTGGTGTGTGGTGTGTGCAGACACGCCGTCGAATGTGGTGTGTGAGTCTGTGGAGCAGCTCTTTACCAACCTGCCCACAGAGGTGTCCATACTGCAGGTGCGGGCGACTAAGAAACACAGACAGACGGCAAAGTAGTGTGTGTGTGTGTTCAAACGGTTCTCAGATAGAGGAGTTGTGGAAGGTTTATCTAGCGCAGCACAACCAGTCGCCCGCGTTCCAGGACTGCCTCGTCAAACTCACCAAGGACACGCTGCCTGACACACAGGTTAGCCGACTGATCCCTCTCCGCCTCTCTACACACGACGTTTTCTCTCTCTCTCTCCCTCTCTCTCTCTCTGTGTGTGTGTGTGTGTGTCGCGTCAGCTGCCGCGTGAGCTGATCGACCTCGCCATCGATTCCCTGAAGGCCAGCGCCGCGCCCTACCGCCACCTGCTGTCGGCACTGGACGAGGATCAAAAAGACGACGATGCAGGTGGCGAGAGAGACGTGCCGAGCACGCCGCCCCGTGTGGCCCGGCGTGGCGGGCCGGCGATGGAGGCCATCGCCGAGCACGATGATGGGGATGCGGAGGGAGAAGGGGGGAGGGAGGGGGGCGATGTAGATAGGGAGGGGGGAGGGGAGGAGCAGGCAGGAGACGAACAAGATGATAATAATTAGATGTGCACAATGCCATGCACTACACGTGCATCCATGCCATGCAGACATTGACTGTCTGTCTGTCTGTCTGCCCGCCCGTGCCTGGTATTGTGCGCCCAACAAGAGACCAAAGGAATAATGTATCCACGTGTCGAGCTCAGGCCTTTTCAACTCTCGCGGCTTAGCTCGCACTTCCTGGCCGTTCGGTGTGCCGCGGTCTCTCGCCATTCCGATTCACTCTTGATTCTCTCGTGTGAGCGAAGAAAGATAGATCCGCATTAATAACAGCTGAATTCGAAGCAATTGACAGCATATATCCATTGCAATGGCCGTCCGTGTCCTCCTCGTGACGGGAATCCTGTGCCGTCTCCTCCTCGCTGGAAGCCCAGTGATGGGCGCCTCTATTATTGCACATCACCATGGTCGCCGTCGAACTGTGACTGAATCGCCCCCGGCGGCACCAGAGAACAGCCCCAAGCAGCCCCAGCAGAAGCAGCCAACCAAATGCATGATGGATTTCCGGACGGCCTCAGAGGACAAGGACAAGGTACAGGGACATACACACCAGACGCGCGTGTCACTGTGTCCGTCCATTCAGAAATCAAAGACGTGGAGCTTCGAAAACGGAGTATTAAAGCATTTCACAGAGGAAGACGGAGATGTGAAAGGCTGTCCGGACAAAAACGACTTCTGTCATCTGGAGAAGGTCGAATTCCCCAGTCCCAGCCCCAATGAAGCAACAGGACCCACCGGGAGAGGAACCTGGTACGTACGTGGCTGTACGTGTGCATATCATAGGTACACGATCGACGAATATGCATGGTCTCCCGCTCCACTGCACTGCTACCCCCTGGACACGTAACGGTGTGCATGTCTGTTTTTTTGAAAATGTGCGGCGGGCAACCGCCTGAAATGAAAAAATGCGGTGGAGGCAGCGAAGATTGAAAACGTGCAGTGGGAGACAGCAAGACATTTGAAAAGATGCAGTGGAGAGACAGGTAGATGAAAAAGTACATGATGATCAGACACTCTTTCAAGCTCCAGCACATGTGTGCTCCTCAGGATGCCCTTGAGAGCTGCCTCGACAGTGAAAATGTGCGGTCTTGTGGAGGAAATAGGATGAAAAATTGCGTCGGGCGATCAAACGAATGAAAATGTTCGCTAAGACCGCCGAGAATGAATTTGTGCGCTGGAGAGCGGCGATGTTAAAAAATGCGGTTTGAAACCGCTGCGTGTCAGGGGGGTATGCACTGCATGTCTTGTCGGTGCGTGGGTGCGTGCGTGCAGCGGGCCAAAGGACAGGGGACCATTGGGGAAGTGTGACTCGAGCGCCCGTGGGAAGGACAAAGACGGGAAACCTGTCTGCTTCGGCGTCAACGGTCCGGTAGGTACGCAGTGCACGCGCAGCCATCCTCAATTGACTTCTTTGTACGTTTGCAGCGCTTCGAGTACAACGAACGTATCCCCATCCAGTTCACGCACCTATTCCCTGGAGGTCGGCAGATTAAGCCCCCCTTTCGTGGCTTGTAGTATACTCGCAGATATGGACCGGCTGATGATGATGTCATGACGGATCGACTCGATGGAGGATCTCGTTTCGACTGCATGGTCGAGGGCATGCATTTGAGTGCACTAGCGAACAATCGTGATTTCACTTCAACAATGCACTCAACTGTCCATTCCTAGTGTGTGTGTTGTGAGTCAGTCGTCTCATTCGTCCATCCACTCAGTCAGTCAGTCAGTCAGCCATGCTGTCTCTCTCACATCAGATCAGCGGAGTCGAAAGGCCAACTACAGACACACACGCACACACATGGAGATGGGTGACATATCATTGCGTGGCGTGAAAATGTGTGTCACATGCCCCCCCCCCCCCCCCC